TGTACTCATTTTAAAATATTAACAGGTACTTGTACTGTACTTAAATACTTCTTAGAGTACATGTACTTTGCCCCAAGCCTGGTAGCTAGTAAATTTAGGCAAATAAAATTTTAACAAATTATTCCTATAAACCAAAACCTTAACTTAAGATGTTAGCAAGGTAAAACATTTGTAAAAATTATTAATTTCTGAACCTTAATTTTTATAAAGCAATTTGCCCAAATTATCTATTCGAAACTACATGCATCTACTATGTACGACGTACATGTTACATGTAGCTACACGATATATCATCATTACCTACCACGAGTCTCTGTGAACAACAAGAGCTAGTGAGAAGTCTGCAAATGACTCTGAAGTCAATGAGAATGGACTGGAAGACCTAAATAGATCAGTCAACTCCTTTATCTCAATAATAGTGTCAATCAAGCATACCTTTAATGTACCATCAACTGTAATGGCTATCACTGCATCTGTAATGAGAGTAAGAGAGAGGAGAGAAAAGTGTTAAAAGTGTAAAAACAAACCCAATTTTAGGGCTTGAGTGGAAGGAAAACAATTATACAATAAAATCAAGCTGACTTGTATCTGCAAAAGCATTGCACAGCTGAAAGCTGTACCATGCCATAGTCAGCTTTGTCCTTTAATTTATATCACACATAAAATTACATGCCATATTCAATAATTTTACTACGTAAAAATTAAATCACAAAATTTTGAAACCTAAATTTCTACCACATTAATTTCATACTATGGTGAGGGCATTAACATAAATTTTTGAGTGTGCAATATTGGTACCTGTAATATCTGATACAGTAGTATGTATAACTATATACAAAGATCAAGTGTTTACAATAATTAGCTCAGGCTACAGATATTCGCATCATGTGTGAATTTGGGTGTTTGCCAGTAGTTACACTTGGGATTGCTATTAATTTTTTTCTTTCCCGAAACAATAATTATTTATAATTTATGAAGACAACATATGAACAAGATAATTTTGGTAAAAAACTTTAATTAACCATTGGCAATAGTTAGCCAACTACACTTACTGTCTGCTCATAAGAGACTTGTTTTTCAGTGATATACCTCATGTTTTTATAAGACTGAACAGTACGTGCATGATCTGGGCCAAACTAAATGTGAGACAAAACAGTTAAGTAACCTAGATGACCTGGTATTAATATTACTGCATACTTTAGTCCTATAGATATTGTATGCTTTTCTCTCATTTTGCTTAGCTTCAGCAAATGCTCCAATGTGAGTCAATGGGTTGGCAAGAAGATGATGACTAGAGAAGAGAGGGAGGGAGGTAGAGAAAGAGGGATGGAGAGAGAGGGAAAGAGAGAGGGGGGAAGGGAAAGAGGAGGCAAAACAAGGAGAAAAGGGTACGATAAGATGTACATGTACATGTATCTTGTCATTACTAACATTGTCGCTATAGTAATTGATTGACTTCCATGAAACCTAATGAACAGATACAAGAACAAACATAGCCAGCCTTAATTCTGTTGATTTGTATATACTAGCTCACTTGTTTTGTAATCTAAGAGCAGTTTCCAGATATGCCTGACTTTCTTCATAATGACCAGCATTACTCAGTAGTAAACCAATGTCAATGTAATTAAAATAAATAATAACAGTTATGATACAAAATTTACAATAATTTTAAACAATACATGTACATGTGTATGATGAATCAAGAGAACATTGATAAAGCAATACTTACATACACAATAGACATTTCAAGATGATCCTCACAATGTGTTAACATTCTTAGATACCTAACTCTATATAGTAATCTCAACGCCACAACATTCCTCTCAGCCACACAGCAATACTAAGCCAAATGGAACTATATAAAGAAAAAAATCAGTGATAGGCTTAGTCGTTGAAATTATCATGATCATGGTTTCCCATAGGATTTTGACATAATGCTCTCAGTGAATTTTTAAAGTTGTTCCAATTGTTGATAAAATATTGCGCAATGTATTTTTTCCAAAATTTAATCAAACATTGCAAAGGTAAAATTTTTATTAAACATATAGAAGTTCAAATACTGTGTAAAAATTTTAAGCAGACTCTAATCAAAATTGATATTTTTATAAATTTAAAAAGTTGCTTTAAAATTGGGCCAAAGACATGGTACATGGTATTTGGCCAAAATTTGCCTAAATCTACTTAGGAGAAAATTCTGTGTTTATAATTTTCAGATAACATGTCCTTATGTTGTACAGAAAGTTGAAGCTCATTCTGATCAAAGTCAGATTTTCATTAATTTTTAAATTTTGCAAAAAATGGCGCCAATACCAAAGACTTTGGTTTTTGACCAAATTTTGCCAAAAATTGCTCAAAGAGACATTTTTCTGATACATATACATGTCCTAATGATGTATCAAAGTTTGAGCTCATTCTGATCAAATTTGGACTTTTTATGAATTTCAAAGACTTGTCAGCTCAAAAAGCATGCCTTTTAGCTCACTTAGCATACTTTATGGGGAACTAATAGTGCAAAACATAAAAAATTAAAAAAAAACAAGATGAAGTAGGATTCTAGAGCAAATTTGGGAAAAAGTAACAGAAACAGAGACAAGTAGGATTCCGAACAACCAACGAAAATACGA